AAATAAAATTATATAAAATTAAATACACGGAATTTATCAATTTATGATCCTTCAAATAATATTATATAAAATTAAATACACGTTAATGTTTGACTATTCCTTTTAACTCTAATGAAAATAAAGTCAAAGTCTGTTATAATAATCAAATATGTGTCTGATAGACAAATAATCTACTGTATGTATACTTTACAAGAGCGAAATCTAGTCATAAAACCTTTCCAAAAACAGCCATCAACTTCATCTAAAATAAATACACAAAATAAAAAATGTTTAGTCAGTTTATTAAAGACTTGTCTATTCATATTGTAAACTGTTTTGAACATCTAGTTAGCTTGATTGAAAATCAAAGGCTGAATCCTATGTTAAATGATAAAATTATTAAAGTGAAAGTTTAGTTCATGTAAGTAAAAAACAAAAATATCACATTCCAGAAACTCTGTTTGCTTGAATAACTCTATGTTGAGACGCAAGTGTTCATTAACCAGGTGTTTTCCATTTTATTCCACAATAGCATTAGCACTACACGTGAATCTACAGGGACTTTGCAGATGTACATTGGAGCGTGTAAGGGAACAATTGTCATTGCATAAAATACAAAAAAAAAAAAAAAATCAATAAACTCAGCAGTAAACACATGAATCAGCATCCTAAATGCTTCACAAACGGTACTATGTTACAGGTTACAACACTTTTGTAACAAGAAAGTACAAAGAAAAACTTTGTTAGAGCCCTAGCAAGACTTAAGATAAAAATAAATAAGCAAATTTCATTTGAACTACAATTTACTATTATATTAATATTGATTAAAAATGAGCATACATATTAATTAAATGGTAATAAATAAATAAATAACAAATCTTTAAAAAAGAATCACAAGAATTAAACAACTGTCACAAAGCCAGAAGACCCAGATTGGTAAGTTCAGTGAGTTTATTGAAACAGGTAGCGTCAGGACTAGCAGGTGAGTATCTGGAATCAGAGATTTGCAGATCAGGTTGAACAGGTTGTAAACAGAGTCTCTTAGTCTCTTAGAGTCTCAGAGCCCCCCCCCCCCTTCACGGCCAGCTCCAGCTGGCGGAAAGGACCGACGACGGGGACGACCACGGCCTCTGGGTGCTGGACGATTTGGATGGGCAGAGTGAAAGTCCTGAAGGAGAGCGGGATCCAGAATGTCCTCACGAGGAACCCAACACCTTTCCTCGGCACCAAAGCCCTCCCAGTCGACGAGGTACTCCAGATGGCCTCCCTGTCGTCGGGAGTCGAGGATCTCGTGGACTCGATAGATGTTATCGTCCTAAGGGTCCGCGGGAGGAGGAGGCACGTCTTCAGCACCAGACCCTGGGGAAGAAGGAGTGAGAGGATTAGTGTAAGGCTTGAGCGGAGACACATGGAAGGACGGTGAAATACGATAGTGAGCAGGGAGTGATAACTGGTAGGTGACTTCGTTGATCTGCCTCTGTATGGCGAACGGACCTATATATCTGGGACTCAGCTTACGACAGGGCTGCCGGAGACGAATGTCCCGAGTCGAGAGCCACACCAATTGTCCGGGCTGATATTGGGGTGTTGATGAACGTCTGGCATCGGCTTGGCTCTTGTGTCTCCGGACAGCCCGCTGAAGATGGACATGTGCTGAGTCCCAAACCCTCTCGCTCATTTGGAACCAGTGATGGACTGCTGGGACGCTAGAAGGTTCTCCGGACCAGGGGAATAATGGAGGCTGGAAACCGAGTATGCACTGAAAAGGGGTGAGGCCGGTGGTGGATTGGCGGAGCGAATTCTGCGCATACTCGGCCCACTGCAGATAGTGACTCCAGCACTCCTGGTGGTCATAGCAGTATGACCGCAGGTATCTCCCGATCTCCTGGATCTTCCGCTCAGTCTGGCCATTGGACTGCGGATGGTATCCGGAAGTGAGGCTGACTGTGATACCCAAGAGGTTGAAGAAGGCTTTCCAGACACGAGAAATGAACTGGGGTCCATGGTCAGATACAATATCTTCGGGGATGCCGAAGTGACGGAATACTTGGTGGAACAGGGTCTCAGCAGTCTCAAAGGCGGTGGGTAGCCCTGGTAGTGGAATGAGTTTGCAGGCTTTCGAGAAACGATCTACTACTACGAGGATGCAAGTATGGGAGTCTGAAGCAGGCAGGTCAACCCCTAGGTGAGACCAGGGTCGTGTGGGTACAGGCAGTGGTACGAGTTTCCCCTCTGGGAGTCGGTGGGGAACTTTGGCCATGGCGCAGACTGAGCAGGTCTTGACATATCGGGAGACATCCTGGGTCATATTAGGCCACCAGTAGCGTTGTTGTATGAGCGAGAGGGTTTGGTGGCTGCCTGGGTGTCCATAGTCCGGAGATGTATGAACTGAGTCCATGAGGGACAGACATAGTCGTGATGGTACATAAACCCGTCCCTCAGGACCTCCCGGCGGAGCAGGTTCAGTTTGGGTGGCTTCGGCGATGTGGTCGTCCAGGCTCCACTGAATGGGACTGACCACTATGGCTGGAGGGAGGATGGTTTCTGACACAGATGGACTAGAATCAGGTTGGAACTGGCGGGATAGAGCATCAGCCTTTGTATTCTTGTGACCTGGGCGGTAAGTGACGGTGAAGTTGAAGCGAGTGAAGAAGAGTGCCCAGCGGGCTTGGCGAGGGTTGAGTCGGCGAGCTTCACGGAGGTATTCCAGGTACGATGATCGTGATAACTATGAAGGGGTGTTGTGCTCCCTCCAGCCAGTGTCTCCATTCCTCCAAGGCGAGTTTGACAGCCAGCAGTTCCCGGTTGCCGATATCGTAATTCTGCTCCGCCGGGGACAGTTTCTTGGAGAAGAAGGCACATGGATGGAGTCGGAGTGGGTTCTCCTGCCGCTGGGATAGGACAGCTTCTACCCCCGAGGTGGAGGCGTCAACTTCCACAAGGAAGGAGAGATCAGGATCAGGAAGGACAAGGGTAGGAGCTGAACTGATGGTCTTTTTCAATTCTTCGAAGGCGTTGATTGCATCTGTGGTCCAGGACAGAGACTTGGCCCCATGTTTGAGTAGTGACGTGATGGGTGCGCTGATCTGACTGATACCGCTGATGAAACGGCGATAGAAATTGGCGAATCCCAGAAAGCGTCGCAGTTCTTTGAGCGTGGTGGGTTGAGGCCAGTTGGTGACGGCGTCCACCTTCCTCTGGTCCATGGTGATACCTTGAGGGGTGATGACATAGCCCAGGAACTGAATAGTTGTTTGATGGAATTCGCATTTCTCATGTTTCAGATCGAGGTGATGTTCTCTCAGGCATTTGAGGACTAGTTTAACATGACGTGCTCAGACAGGTTGGCAGAGTAAAAATGAGGATGTCATCAATGTATATGATGACGAACTGGTTCAGGTCATCATGGAAGATCTCATTCATAAAGCCTTGAAAGACAGCTGGTGAAACGGACAGTGTAAAATACACTGCAATTAACTTGCTGTTTAAAACCAGCAGAACAGTGTTAGCGATGCCAGTAAAGAGGTTTTAAAACAGCTATTTTAGAATACACAAACATCTGCCATGCAGAATCTATAACTTGAGAGTTTCCAAAGGATCGTTTAAGTGCCAAATGATAATAGTTAAACTAATGCCTATGGTAACTGCATAATCATGCATAATTAACACGTTAGCATCATTTATTATGTTTTATAATATATTAAAATCCCATCATGATCCAGGCAATTCCTTCAAATTCTCATGTGTTTTTGTGCATATAATCTGTGAAGAACACTTGCAGTGCAGTATGATATTACTTTGGATCTGATTAAAGCAGATCACTGCATTATGGGGTCTTCAGCGTACCTGCCAATAATTAAAGAAAAATTAATACTAGGAAAAAAGTAATCCGTCCACAGAGACTCTTTCTGATCATTGGACGCCACTGTAGAGACATCCGTCGACAGAGACTCTTTCTGATCATTGGTCGCCACTGTAGAGACATCCGTCGACAGAGACTCTTTCTGATCATTGGTCACCACTGTAGAGACATCCGTCGACAGAGACTCTTTCTGATCATTAGTCGCCACTGTAGAGACATCCGTCCACAGAGACTCTTTCTGATCATTGGTCGCCACTGTAGAGACATCCGTCGACAGAGACTCTTTCTGATCATTGGTCGCCACTGTAGAGACATCCGTCAGCAGAGACTCTTTCTGATCATTGGTCGCCACTGTAGAGACATCCGTCGACAGAGACTCTTTCTGATCATTGGTCGCCACTGTAGAGTCATCCGTCGGCGGAGACTCTTCCTGATCATTGGTCGCCACTTTAAGGACAGTCGTTGACAGAGGCTCGTTCTGATCATTTGTTGCTTCGTTAGGATCAACTGTTAGCACAGGCATGTTCTTCTCCCAGGACGCCTCGTCATCTTCTGAAAGAAAGAAAACAGTCACAGTAGTTAAAATAATTTTTCATGATTTATGATTCAGTAACACACACATAAAAATGTGTTTCAACCTCTGATGTTTACTGAATGTAAAGACCCTTGTTCTTCATTCTGAAGTAAAACAGCTCAAGATCAGCGCTCTTAAATAATTCAATTAGAATTGGTGTATCTGTGATTATTTCTGAATGAATCCACACATACATTCACTCAGAAAACACAAACACAAACCAGTCTGGTATTCAACAATCAACCTAAACCAGCTCTCAATCTGTGGTCCGACGTGGCATCTAACAACTAGCCGAAGTCAACACACATTCTATGGACCAGTCCGGCATTCAACAACCAGTCTAAACCAGTTCACAGTCTGGCATCCAACAACTAGCCCAGGTCATCTCATAATCTGTGGTCCAATCCGATATCCAACAAATAGTCCAAGCCAGATCACACTCTGTGGACCAGTCACAACTGACAAACGAGCCTAGTATCTAATAACCAGTCCAAATCAGCTCACAGCCTATAGTCGAGTCTAACATCCAATAATCATCTCAAGCCATCTTACAGTTTGTGGACTAGTCTGGCATCCAACAACCAGCACAAGTCGGCATTTAACAACTAGCAAATGCCAGGTTACAATCGTCAGTCCAGTCCGGTATCCAACAACCATCCCAAGCGAGCTTACAATCTGTGGATCAGTCTGGCATCGAACAACCAGCTCAAGTCATCCCAGTTTGGCAGTCAACAACTAGTCCAAGTCAGTTCACAAACTGTGGTTTAGCCTGGCATCCAGCATTCAGCCCAAGTCAGCTCAAGGTCTGTAGACTAGTTTGGCATTTAATAACCAGCACATGTCAGGTTATAATCGGCAGACCAGTCCAGTATCCAACAACCAGCCCAAGCGAGCTCACAATGTGTGGACCAATCTGGCATCGAACAACCAGCCCAAGTCAGCTTAAGATCTGTGGTCCAGTCAGGCACTCAACATCCAGCCCAAGCGAGCTTACAATCTGTGGATCAGTCTGGCATCCAACAACCAGCCCAAGCGAGCTTACAATCTGTGGATCAGTCTGGCATCGAACAACCAGCCCAAGTCAGCTTAAGATCTGTGGTCCAGTCTGGCACTCAACATCCAGCCCAAGCAAGCTTACAATCTGTGGATCAGTCTGGCATCGAACAACCAGCTCAAGTCATTTGCGGCCCAGTTTGGCAGTCAACAACTAGTCCAAGTCAGCTCACAAACTGTGGTTTAGTCTGGCATCCAGCATTCAGCCCAAGTCAGCTCATGGTCTGTAGACCAGTCCGGCATTTAATAACCAGCACATGCCAGGTTACAATCGGCAGACCAGTCCAGTATCCAACAACCAGCCCAAGCGAGCTCACAATTTGTGGACCAATCTGGCATCGAACAACCAGCCCAAGTCAGCTTAAGATCTGTGGTCCAGTCTGGCACTCAACATCCAGCCCAAGCAAGCTTACAATCTGTGGATCAGTCTGGCATCCAACAACCAGCTCAAGCGAGCTTACAATCTGTGGATCAGTCTGGCATCGAACAACCAGCCCAAGTCAGCTTAAGATCTGTGGTCCAGTCTGGCACTCAACATCCAGCCCAAGCAAGCTTACAATCTGTGGATCAGTCTGGCATCCAACATCCAGCCCAAGCAAGCTTACAATCTGTGGATCAGTCTGGCATCGAACAACCAGCTCAAGTCATTTGCGGCCCAGTTTGGCAGTCAACAACTAGTCCAAGTCAGCTCACAAACTGTGGTTTAGTCTGGCATCCAGCATTCAGCCCAAGTCAGCTCATGGTCTGTAGACCAGTCCGGCATTTAATAACCAGCACATGCCAGGTTACAATCGGCAGACCAGTCCAGTATCCAACAACCAGCCCAAGCGAGCTCACAATGTGTGGACCAGTCTGGCATCGAACAACCAGCCCAAGTCAGCTTAAGATCTGTAGACCAGTCTGGCATCCAACAACCAGCTGAAGTCAGATCACACTCTGTGGACCAGTCTGGCTTTCAACAACCAGCCCAAGTCAATCCATAATCTGTAGTCCAGTCTGGCATCCAACAACCAGTTTAAGTCAGATCACACTCTGTGGACCAGTCTGGTATTCAACAATTAACTTAAACCAGCTCTCAAACTGTGGACCGACATGGCATCTAACAACCAGTCTAAGTCAACACACAATCTGTGGACCAGTCTGGCATTCAGCAAGCAGCCTAAACCAGCTTACAGTCTGACATACCACAACTAGCCCAGGTTATTTTATAATCTGTGGACAAGTCTGGCACTTTAAAACCAGTGCAAGTCAGCCCACAGTCTGTTGAATTGTCAGATAGCCTGCTGTTAGCTACTGTCAGAACACAGTTTGTGGACCAGTCTGGTATTCAACAACCAGCCTAAGTCAGATCACACTCTGTGGACCAGTCTGGTAGTCAACAATCAACCTAAACCAGCTCTCAATCTGTGAACCGACGTGGCATCTAACAATTAGCCGAAGTCAACACACAATCTATGGACCAGTCTGGCATTCAACAACCAGCCTAAACCAGTTTACAGTCTGGCATCCAACAACTAGCCCAGGTCATCTCATAATCTGTGGACCAATCCGACATCCAACAACCAGTCCAAGCCAGATCACACTCTGTGGACCAGTCACAACTGGTAGACCAGCCTGGTATCTAATAACCAGTCCAAGTCAACTCACAGCCTATAGTCGAGTCTAACATCTAATAATCATCTCAAGCCATCTTACAGTCTGTGGACTAGTCTGGCATCCAACAACCAGCTCAAGTCATCTGCGGCCCAGTTTGGCAGTCAACAACTAGTCCAAGTCAGTTCACAAACTGTGGTTTAGCCTGGCATCCAGCATTCAGCCCAAGTCAGCTCAAGGTCTGTAGACTAGTCTGGCATTTAATAACCAGCACATGTCAGGTTATAATCGGCAGACCAGTCCAGTATCCAACAACCAGCTCAAGCGAGCTCACAATTTGTGGACCAATCTGGCATCGAACAACCAGCCCAAGTCAGCTTAAGATCTGTGGTCCAGTCAGGCACTCAACATCCAGCCCAAGCGAGCTTACAATCTGTGGATCAGTCTGGCATCCAACAACCAGCCCAAGACAGTTTGCATTGCGTGGTCTAGTCTGGCATCCAGCAACCAGCCTAAGTCAATTTAGCTAGACCCATCTGGCATCTAACAACCAGCACACGCCAGGTCACAATCGACTGACCAGTCTAGCATCTGACAATCAGCCCAAGCTAGCTCATAATCTGTGCATCACATAGACAATATATTGTGTATGTATTCAAAAAAAAAAAAAAAAAGCTTCTGTATCTGTCCTGTATATATATATATATATGTGTGTGTGTGTGTATGTATGTATATATTATGTATATAGATAAAGTTGTCCTCCGAAGAGGGGGGGTGGAGGTGGGTGAAAAAAAAAAAAAAAAAAAAAAAAAAAAAAAACACAAACAGATACATGCATGAAATTATTTTTCCTAATTTACTTAAAGGTAAAAATACATTTGTGACACGTGATATACTCTATGAAAACATCCAGACGCTTCATGCACTGCTGAGAGCGAGTTTAGATAGATATGAAAAAATGTGTTGCACACTTTCCTCTCATTAATAAGAATAAAAAAGTAACGCTCAACAAAAATGGCAGCGGTGAGAAAACAGTCACACCTTTAACATTATCGACACGAACCAAGTGGTTTCAAACTCGCAACAAACTTCGTTTTGGCCTGATTTAGTTTGAAATTGTCACACCAATTCACTTTAACAGTTTTCACAGTTGTCAGTCTGCTGTAAATTCATTTTTTTTTTGCAGATAGATTTAGTGCTCGAAGTATCTCACCCGAGGCCTGTAAATTGAATCGCCTCCCTTCTCAAAAACACAAATTTTTACTTTGGTCAATTAGAAAACAAATAAATACTTCAACAGATTTGTAAAGATTATTTTTAGCACAATAAATCATATTTACATTTTGTATAATCAGATTTATGTTATACTTGCCATGTTTTCTTCTTTGTGTATATATCATGTGGCAGCGATAGCAAATCACAGCGACTGCAACAGTCACAAACAGCAGAACAACACCAGCACTCATTCCTGCAATAACAGCTGAAGATGAACCTGAATCTGGAACAGATAAAGACACACAGTCATTATTAATAGAGATCAACTAATAATCAACTCTAACAAATCGATTGACTGACATTTAGATCTTTCTATTTTCAGTTCCATGACATGATTTTACTTGTAAATTGTGCCATCTGGTGTGTTTTTGAGAAACTGCAGTTAAAACGGCATCAGCTCTGTGAGATCATTAGGAAACAATGTTAACAGGTAAACTGAATGATATTATGCATTTTTATTTTTTATTAACAATAGACTTTGTTTTTGTTATCAATTATATTTTACTGTTAAGTGAAAAAGCTCACTTTCTCAAACAGAGTCAATTTAAATATAGTGAATGCTTTTCTAAAACTGCTCAGAGGAAAATGTACTGAATGACTAAATGAGACTCACCGGTGACAGAAACACTGAATCTCTTAATGATGCTGCGTCGATGACGACTGCTGTCACTGCCGATCTGTAGTTTATATTCTCCAGAGTCTTCAGTTCTGGTGTGTGTGATGATCAGAGATCCAGTCTGATGATCCAGCTTCAGTCTGTCTCTGAATCTCTCTTTACACTGATCATCTGTACAGATCTTACTCTGATCTCTAGTGATTTCAGCGATGAGAATGTCGTTAAAATACCATGTCGTAAAATTAATTGGTTTTGTTAGTACACCAGTATATAACGTGACAGATTCTCCCTCCTTTCTCTTCACTTCTTCTCGTTCAGCAGCAGAAACACCTGAAACACAAACTAACAGCTGCTGAGAGGATCGTGTTTTGAGGGACGGACACACAACATGAGAGAATGGATTATAAGAAAGAGATAAAACAGGCTCTCTTGACTTTCCTTCTTAAAAAATCTATATTTATTCATATTTTGTACTTGTAACATTTCTGATCTAATCCTCTACACTTTGGTTTCCTGGAGAACTTAAAACACAGAGTAAGAAATAACAGATGCAGATAACTTTAAAAGATGAACATAAGAAACTGTCAATAATGTGTACTAGAACAAAAACAACTGTCAAAACTAACAACTAATAGAAAAACGAAATGTTTTAAAGCAAAAGCATTATGATTAAAAGTATATTTAAATCTACAAATTTCACTTTCTTGGTTAGTCTGTTTTAAAGAAATGATCTTTGTACTGTATGTGAATTAATATACAGGTAAAGAGAAAAAAACACAAAATCAGTAAACACATAATGATGTGATTTAAATGTACAAGACTTGCTTTTAAACATAATGACTCACCTTGAACTGAAACATTGAAGATCTTTTCACTGTCGCTGTGGTTGATGATCTTCAGTTTATAAACTCCAGCATGTGTGTTTGTGATGTTCATGATGGTCAGAGATCCAGTCTGACGATCCAGCTTCAGTCTGTCTCTGAATCTCTCAGTGCCTTCATTACACTGAACATCTGTACAGATCTTACTCTGGTCTCTATTGATTTGAGCGATGCGAATGACATTATAATACCATTTAATCTTTTCTTGTTGGCTTGTTTGAACACCAGTGTTTAGAGTGACTGAATCTCCCTCCATCACTGACACTCCATCTGTATCGACACCAGACGCACCTAAAGAAGAAATGAACAGTTCATTATGAGCTAAACAAATAAATTCAACAGGAATGAATGGATTAACAATGTAATATGCAAACAGCCAGCAGAAGAACATCATTAGCATGAGATCCAGCAGTGTTTGCAGCCTGACGGATTCCAAATACACATTGTGCACAGTAATACTTAACTATTGCCTCAGACACACCTGAACATAAACAACATATTCAGAAAAACTCACATCATCACAAACCAAGCTATAACAAAAATAAAAATAAATAGTAAGAATAAAAAATAAGACAATTCAGCTTCATGCTAATTCAAGCCACAATGCATCCTGGGTACCAGCCTGGTACTCGATCATGATGCTGCATGAAGCTTCATGTCATCAGTGTAAGACATTCATGCTGATTCCTAATGTCTACGTGTGTCTGAATGATGTCACACCCTTAAAATGAGTTCATGTTGGATATCTGCTAGCCTAAATGTCTTGGTCACACACAGCAAAATACAAATGAAAAATGCATGCATTTACGTCGAATGTATTAGAAACATGACTGCTTCACTTTCGGTTTAAAAAAACGCCCAAATATCTTACCACGGTTGAGTAAACACCAGAACAATAATAGCCAGCTAAGCTCCATTTTCACCAAAAATCATTGTAGGTCTTCACACACAACAATACTGCTCCGCGTCGACGTAAAGAGAAAGTAATATTTTTGAAGCTGGGGCTATGTAATGCGATGACGTAATGACGTTTCGTGATCTGCTTTTTTTTTTACTCTGACGCGTTCAGGGTTTGTTGGGGGGAAAGCAGATTTAAACCGTCGAAAGAACGCTTAGAAACAAATGTCTTTCCGTGGATGTGTATTAGGAAGACCACCCTGAGAAAATTAAAGATAAGCTTCATTTTCACCACTTTTTCCAAATGAATGCAGATTCTAATTCAAATCTGGGTCTGTGCGATTGTAGAAAACAACAACAACAACACAAAAACACCAAAAAAGTATTTTAGTCTTTGAGTATTTTAATTCTTTAACATAATTTTATTAGTGTGTGCTAAAAAAGAGAAAACTTTTTTTCCTTGCCCCACCACTCCCCCTTCCACAAGAAAAGCCCCTCATCCACCCTGGCCATTCCATCCCAGAGACCTCCTCTCAATCCACAACGAATGCAGCTGTATGTATTGAACGTATTGACACTGTACATGTCACTTTTGGCTTGTAAAGGCCCACGAAATCGTTCCAAAGACAGCGTTCGATTTGAGGCGAAGGTTTCACGCGTGCTACGTCTTTCCCATGGCAAAGTGATATTTAATTAAATGCAACATATTTAATCTTATGTATTAACTCGTTTCATCTGACGCCATAAAATGAAAAAGGTTTATCAATGATATCTGTGCATCATTAAATACATTAATGCTTGACTATTCCTTTTAACTCTAATTAAAATTAAGTCAAAGTCTGTTATAATCAAATATGTGTCTGATAATCTATCGGAAATAATCTAATAATTATCGACAAATAATCTACTGTATACACTTTACAACAGCGAAATCTAGTCATGAAATCTTTCCAAAAAGAGCCATCAACTTCATCTAAAATAAATAGACAAAATAAAAATGTTTAGTCAGTTTATTAGAGACTTGTGTATTCATATTGTAAACCGTTTTGAACATCTAGTTAGTTTTGAACATCTAGTTAGCTTGATTGAAAATCAAAGGCTGAATCCTATGTTAAAATTGTTAAAGTAAAAGTTTAGTTCATGTAAGTAAAAAACAAAAATATCACATTCCAGAAACTCTGTTCGCTTGAATAACTCTATGTTGAGACGCAATTGTTCATTAACGAGGTGTTTTCCATTTTATTCCACAATAGCATTAGCACTACACGTGAATCTACAGGGATTTCGCAGATGTAGGAGCGCGTAAGGGAACAATTCTCATTGGGTAAATATACACACAAAAAAATCCATAAACTCAGCAATAAACACATGAATCAGCATCTTACATACTTCACAAAAGGCACTATGTTACAGGTTATAACACTTTTGTTACAAGAAAGTACAAAGAAAAACATCCACTTTTGCAGTCGATAAGAACATTCAGTAGCCCGTACAGGGCCGGCCCAGACTCTGTTAGAGCCCTAGCAAGACTTAAGATATAAATAAATAAATAAATAAGCATATTTCATTTGAACTACAATTTACTATTATATTAATATTGATAAAAATGATCATAAATATTAATTAAATGGTAATAAATAAATAACAAATCTTTAAAAAAAAGAATTAAACAACAAATGGACATATCAGAGCAATAAACTAGCCTCTTTCCTGTCATCCCTATTTTTGCTATGGATAATTGCATCTGCTAAAATATTAAATGTAAATGTTAAATGTGAAATACACTGCACTTAACTTAAAACCAGCAGAACAGTGTTAGCGATGTCAGTAAAGATGTTTTAAAACAGCTATTTCAGAATACAAAAACATCTGCCATGCAGAATCTATAACTTGAGATTTTCCAAAGGATCGTTTAAGTGCCAAATGATAATAGTTAAACTAATACCTATGGTAACTGCATAATCATGCACAATTAACACGTTATGATCATTTATTATGTTTTATAATATATTAAAATCCCATCATGATCCAGGCAATTCCTTCAATCCGCCTCTTTTTTTTTAACATCGGTTGCCGCTGTAGTGACAGGCGTCGGCACAGACCCATCGGTCGCTGCTGTAGTGACAGGCGTCGGCACAGACCCATCGGTCGCTGCTGTAGTGACAGGCGTCGGCACAGACCCATCGGTTGCCGCTGTAGTGACAGGCGTCGGCACAGACCCATCGGTTGCTGCTGTAGTGACAGGCGTCGGCACAGACCCATCGGTTGCCGCTGTAGTGACAGGCGTCGGCACAGACCCATCGGTTGCCGCTGTAGTGACAGGCGTCGGCACAGACCCATCGGTCGCTGCTGTAGTGACAGGCGTCGGCACAGACCCATCGGTCGCTGCTGTAGTGACAGGCGTCGGCACAGACCCATCGGTCGCTGCTGTAGTGACAGGCGTCGGCACAGACCCATCGGTCGCTGCTGTAGTGACAGCCGTCGGCACAGACCCATCGGTCGCTGCTGTAGTGACAGGCGTCGGCACAGACCCATCGGTCGGCACAGACCCATCGGTCGCTGCTGTAGTGACAGGCGTCGGCACAGACCCATCGGTCGCTGCTGTAGTGACAGGCGTCGGCACAGACCCATCGGTTGCTGCTGTAGTGACAGGCGTCGGCACAGACCCATCGGTTGCCGCTGTAGTGACAGGCGTCGGCACAGACCCATCGGTTGCTGCTGTAGTGACAGCCGTCGGCACAGACCCATCGGTTGCCGCTGTAGTGACAGGCGTCGGCACAGACCCATCGGTCGCTGCTGTAGTGACAGGCGTCGGCACAGACCCATCGGTCGCTGCTGTAGTGACAGCCGTCGGCACAGACCCATCGGTTGCTGCTGTAGTGACAGGCGTCGGCACAGACCCATCGGTTGCTGCTGTAGTGACAGCCGTCGGCACAGACCCATCGGTTGCTGCTGTAGTGACAGGCGTCGGCACAGACCCATCGGTTGCTGCTGTAGTGACAGGCGTCGGCACAGACCCATCGGTTGCCGCTGTAGTGACAGGCGTCGGCACAGACCCATCGGTCGCTGCTGTAGTGACAGGCGTCGGCACAGACCCATCGGTTGCCGCTGTAGTGACAGGCGTCGGCACAGACCCATCGGTCGCTGCTGTAGTGACAGGCGTCGGCACAGACCCATCAGTCGCTGCTGTAGTGACAGGCGTCGGCACAGACCCATCGGTCGGCACAGACCCATCGGTCGCTGCTGTAGTGACAGGCGTCGGCACAGACCCATCGGTCGCTGCTGTAGTGACAGGCGTCGGCACAGACCCATCAGTCGCTGCTGTAGTGACAGGCGTCGGCACAGACCCATCGGTCGGCACAGACCCATCGGTCGCTGCTGTAGTGACAGGCGTCGGCACAGACCCATCGGTCGCTGCTGTAGTGACAGGCGTCGGCACAGACCCATCGGTTGCTGCTGTAGTGACAGGCGTCGGCACAGACCCATCGGTCGCCACTGTAGAGACATCCGTCGACTGAGACTCTTCCTGGTCATCGGACGCCACTTTAAGGACGGTCATTGACAGAGGCTCGTTCTGATCATTTGTTGCTTCATTAGGATCATCTGTTAGCAGAGGTGTGTTCTTCTCCCTGGACGCCTCATCATCTTCTGAAAGAAAGAAAACAGTCACAGTAGTTAAAACAAATGTTCATGATTTATGATTCAGTAACACACACACAAAAATGTGTTTCAACCTGATGATTACTGAATGTAAAGACCCTTGTTCTTCATTTTGAAGTATAACAGCTCAAGATGATCATCTGTGATTATTACTGAATAAATCCACACATACTCAGCAAACACAAACAGATACAAGGTGAAATTATTTTTCCTAATTTACTTAAAGGTAAAAATATGTTTGTGACACCCAATTTACTGTATGAAAACATTCAGACGCTTCATGCACTGCTGAGAGCGAGTTTAGATAAATATGAAAAAAAATGTCCTGCACACTTTCCTCTAAATAATAATAATAATAAAAACGAAACACTCAACAAAAATGGCAGCGGTGAGAAAACAGTCAAACCTTTAATATAATCGCCACAAACCAGGTGGTTTCAAACTCGCAACAGACTTTGTTTTGGCCTGATTTAGATTGAAATTGTCACACCAATTCACTTTAACAGTTCTCACAGTTGTCAGTCTGCCGTAAATTCAGTTTTTTGCAGATAGATTTAGTGCTCAAAGTATCTAACCCGAGGCTTGTAAATTGGATCGCCTCCTGCCTGAAAAACAAATTTTTACTTTGGTCAATTAGAAAACAAATAAGTACTTCAACATATTTGTAAAGATTATTTTTGCACAATAAATCTCCCAACATTTTGTATAATAAGCTTTATGTTATACTTGCCAGGTTTTCTTCTTTGTGTATATGTCATGTGGCGATAGAAAATCACAGCGACTGCTACAGTCACAAACAGCAGAACAACAGCAGCACTCATTCCTGCAATAACAGCTGAAGATGAACCTGAATCTGGAACAGATAAAGACACACAGTCATTAATAATAAAGATCAACTAATAATCAACTCTAACAAATCGATTGACTGATATTTAGATCTTTCTATTTTCAGTTCCATGACATGATTTTTCTTGTAAATTGTGCCATCTGGTGTGTTTTTGAGAAACTGCAGTTAAAACGGCATCAGCTCTGAGAGATCATTAGGAAACAATGGTAACAGGTAAACTGAATGATATTATGCATTTTTATTTTTTTATTAACAATAGACTTTGTTTTTGTTATTATCAATTATTTTTACTGTTAAGTGAAAAAGCTCACTTTCTCAAACAGAGTGAATTGAAATATAGTGAATACATTTCTAAAACTGCTCAGAGGAAAATGTACTGAATGACTAAATGAGACTCACCGGTGACAGAAACACTGAATCTCTTAATGATGTTGCGTCGATGACGACTGCTGTCACTGCCGATCTGTAGTTGATATTCTCCAGAGTCTTCAGTTCTGGTGTGTGTGATGATCAGAGATCCAGTCTGATGATCCAGTTTCAGTCTGTCTCTGAATCTCTCTTCACACTGAACATCTGTACAGATCTTACTCTGATCTCCAGTGATTTCAGCGATGAGAATGTCGTTAAAATACCATGTCGTAAAATGAATTGGTTTTGTTAGTACACCAGTATATAACGTGACAGATTCTCCCTCCTTTCTCTTTACTTCTTCTCGTTCAGCAGCAGAAACACCTGAAACACAAACTAACAGCTGCTGAGAGGATCGTGTTTTGAGGGACAGACACACAACATGAGAGAATGGATTATAAGAAAGAGATAAAACAGGCTCTCTTGACTTTCCTCCTAAAAAGCTTTAATTATTCACATTTTGTGCTTGTAACATATCTGAGATCTAATCCTCTACACTTTGGTTCCCTGGTTTCCTTAAAGCACATGGATTATGATTAAAATGTATATTTAAATCTACAAATTTCAAGTTTTGAAGAAATTATCTTTATATACTGTTTGTGAATTAATATACAGGTAAATAGAAAAACACACAAAATCAGTAAACACATAATGGTGTGATTTAAATATATAAGACTTGCTTTTAAAAATAATGACTCACCTTGAACTGAAACATTGAAGATCTTTTCACTGTCGCTGTTGCTGGTGATCCATAGTTTATACACTCCAGCATGTGTGTTTGTGATGTTCATGATGGTCAGAGATCCAGTCTGATGATCCAGCTTCAGTCTGTCTCTGAATCTCTCAGTATCTTTATTACACTGAACATCTGTACAGATCTTACTCTGATCTCTATTGATTTGAGCGATGCGAATGTCATTATAATACCATCTAATTCTGTCTTGTTGGTTTGTTTGAACACCAGAGTTTAGAGTGACTGGATCTCCCTCCATCACTGACACTCCGTCTGTATCAACACCTGACGCACCTAAAGAAATGAACAGTTAATTGTGAGCCAAACAAATTAATTCAACAGGAATACCTGGATTAGCAATGTAATATGCAAACAGCCAGCAGAAGAACATCATTAGCATGAGATCCAGCAGTGTTTGCTGCCTGAAGGATTCCAAACCAAATACACATTGTGCACAAAAGGTTTATTAAGGCTTTATAAGTTTTTTAAAGGTTAGACACAGCCGAACATAAACATCATATTCAGATAAACTCACAAATAAAAAAAAAATAAGACGATTCAGCTGCATGACAAATTCAAGCCGTAGTAGCTACATCCTGGGTACCAGCTCGGTACTCGATCATCCATGATGCTGCATGAAGCTTCATGTCATCAGTGTAAGATATTGCTGAATCATAATGTAAACGTGTGTCTGAAATGATGTCATGCCCTTGAAAATGAGTTCATGTTGGATATCTGCTAGCATGTCTTGATCACACACGGCAAAATACAAATGAAAAATGCATTTACGTCGAATGTTTTAGAAACATGACTGCTTCAGTTCCGGTTTAAAAAACGCCCAAATGTCTTACCACGGTCGAGTAAACACCAGAACAATAATAGCCAGCTAAGCTCCATTTTCAGCACAAATCATTGTAGGTCTTCATACACAACAATAATGCTCCGCGTCGACGTCAAAGAGAAAGTAATATTTGAAGAGCGATGTGGTCCGATGACGTAATGACGTTTCGTGATCTGCTTTTTTTTTTAACCTCTGTCGCGTTCAGGGTTTGTTGGGGGGAAAGCAGCGTTAAACCGTCGAAAGAACGATTAATTCTTTGATTATTTGATCATTGATCGAAAGAGAGAAACAAATGTCTTACCGTGGATGTGTATTAAGAAGATCACCCTGAGAAAATTAAAGATGAGCTTCATTTTCACCACTTTTTCCAAATGAATGGGTCTGTGGGGTGATTGTAGATAACAACAGCAACAATAACACACGCACAAAAAGTAGTTTAAGTCTTTGAAAGTCTGAGTATTTTAGTTCTTTGTGTAAGTGTGTGCTTAAAGGAGTCAGTTTCTGAAAACATTTAGTGATACTTACGCTCAGTTATTTCTGACAACAAACTGTAAAATCACAAATTCAGTGACAAATTCACAGATTTAGCAGTTATAGGTTAACCAGATCCGTTTTAACTGCTTTAATTACATTCATGCTCAACTTGGCTGATGCAAAGTTAAAAAAAAAAAAAAAATCTTAATATAATCTGAGACTGCAAGGCACATAATTATTGTCTCTTAAGAGGTTTTTAGGCTTTTGTGAAGAGCACATTTGAGAACTGTGAAATCTCTTGGCTTAAAGTTTCACTTTAAGTATATTTTAAGTATTCTTCACTTTAAGTATCACTGCAGATTCAAGAATACTCAACAATGATGTGGACTGTGGACATGCATGTCTTAAAGCATGTGATAAACACCACATGGACATAATATGAAACAACATAAAAAACTTGATATTCACCACAGGGGGTCTTTCAAAAGCTGTTCATAGTATAATGAAGGCCCCTGGCCTACAAACTAAACACACTAATGCCCACACACAACATGTTTGTAGACCCACCAGGTCAAACCACATCTCTGAAGAACACCGGCCGCAGCAGTTTCACTTTCACTCAGAGGATGAACGTCAGTAAAACTAGTAATGTGAGACCATACATGGTTTTAACTTTTTACTTTGGGTTTTCCATTCACTAAAATTAAGAGCTGAATAAATATACACAACTATTTTAAAACCACTAGAAGTGGTTGCATGCAGTTATTACACAATTCACACAACATTTCTTCTATTTAGCCATTTAACAAAGTCAGGCAACAATATTACAAAAAGTATGTTAATCAATAAAAATAAACATATTTTCCCGCATTAAGAACAGTTAAATAATGGCAGGTGAACTATAACATATGTGCAAATACGACTTGTGAAAGTAGGAGTGTCAAACCGTGTCGTGGGAGGATACACACATATAGACTGAGTGTTTCCAGTGGATCGTTTCATCACACACTGAACTGCTGGAGAAAATGTTTCATGTGTTTGTTTTATTCTGTTTGTGTTGCTGGAGTCTGACTGGTGAGTTAGAAACACATTTTTATGATTTAATTTCTCTCTGGATTATTAAAGCTGTTGACTATTTTCATCTATGCCGTATCAAACGATATCTTGAATATTGTGAGATCTACTATTTTTGAAGTCAGGATTTTGCTTTGAAATGGTCTTGAACAATAATGGACATGTGACTTTACACACTGATTTTAGATCGAGGTTCACTTATATCTCACCTTCATTTTGTGTTTCTGCTGCTGTTGTGAATGTTCGTCAGTTCACATGTAAATGATAAAAACTACAGCTTCAGGATTCAGGAAACCATCAGAAACATTAATCTGTGTAAATCTGTGTGTTCATCAGGTGTGTTTGGTGATTCAGTGTCAGTGATGGAGGGAGATTCTGTTACTCTAAATACTAATATTACTGAAATATCTGAAGATGATGACATACTGTGGAAATATGGAGCTGAAAACTCTCAGATAGCTAAAATCAGCATTAAGAAACAATACTTCACCACATCTGATAATGTTACTGATGGGAGATTCAGAGACAGACTGAAGCTGGACAATCAAACTGGATCTCTGACCATCACACACACCACAACTGAACACACTGGAGTTTATACACTAGTGATAAGGGGAGTGAAACAATCATCAAAAACATTCAGTGTTTCTGTCTATGGTGAGTAGCGATCATTTGTCCTGTCCTTCAAATATTTGTTTATTTTTACATATTGAATTGGATCATTTTGTAGTTTAAAATAACGGACCATATAAATAATCATTTAAAACACTGAACTGAAAATAAGATTGTTGAGTAGATTTACCCATATCTCTCTTTATTCTCTCGTTTCTCAGCTCGTCTGCCTGTTCCTGTCATCATCAGTAACTCTTCACGATGTTCTTCAAATTGTTCATTGGTGTGTTCATCATCAGTGTTGAGTGTGTGTGATGCGACTCTGTCCTGGTACGCAGGAATGAGTGTATTGTCCAGCATCAGTGTGTGTGATCTCAGCATCAGTCTCTCTCTACCTCTGGAGGTGGAATATCAGGATAAAAACACCTACAGCTGTGTGCTGAACAATCCCATCAGCAACCAGACCACACATCTAGACATCAACACACACTGCAGACACACATGTGCAGGTACACCACCACTCATCATATATGTGTGTGTGGGTTTACTGACCTGATCTCTGTCTTCTGGTGTAGATCAGACACATTCACCTCCATTCTGTCCATTACAGATCAAGGCGTACCCTTATTGTACCCCGTCCTGATCTCTTCGGGATCTCTGATGATTGTTGCTGTAGTCGTTGGGATCTTCTGCATCTGCAAGAAACGTAGGAAAGCTGAACAACAAGGCAAGTGTTACTTACAACTTGTGAGAAATGACATGCAGGGTTTTCAGTTAAAACATACATTATCGCAAAGTAAGTTTGTGTGTGTGTGTTTCAGTAATATGTGTCAGAGAGGGATTTCCATAAAAGGTCACTTAGTGGGGGGAAAACATGGAAATAGGTAGTCATTTTTCATCCTGTTGTTTATTATATTGGCTTGGTTTGCTGTTCTAGGCTGTTTACCTTCACTAATAATATTTAGTAATATTGTAATGCACTCAAAACCTGGAAGTACTTTAGCTGACAGCTCTGATGATGTTTCAAAGATCAGATATAGGTAAGAGTGTGTTTTGTGGTTTTAACGCATATATTATTGTTGTTGTAGAAACAGTTCAGACTCTTAACAGAAAGGTCACTTACGCTCATCCGACATTCCCCAAAAGAAACGCACATAAATTGGTAAGATTATGTGTTTATGTCATGAGTCACATGTCCCTCTGTATCATTTAAATATCTGTATTCTGATCTATCACTCACACAGCAGAGCTATATATGATATTTATGAAAAACGTATCATTATTCGGTACCAGAAATGCACAAAATACCCGCTCTGCCCAAGAATATAGTTAAATAATAATAATAATAATAATTTACTAATTTATTTTTGGAGCAAATGAGAAAGACTGAAATAGTTCTGGACCAACGCTATAGACTTCAACTTTCAGTCAGTGAATATAATATACATTTAAAAAATACTTTGTTCAATGAACATAATCATCTGGTGCTGTCTGGTCATTTTTGACTGAAAAAAAAATTACATTATTTTATTATTATTTTTTTTTTGTATTTTTTATTTCAGAATGGTACAAAACGTGATAAAAATTTTGGCACTTGCTACATAATAATACTGTACATGATTTAAAATTGTTAAATGGTCCTGGAAAAAATAGTCACACTCGTACTGCTCCTGTGTCCAAATTAGCGCATTGGAAACAAATGGGAAGTGGGAACATTTTTTTTTTTTTTTTTGCGATATTGTTACCGTTTTTGAGATATCAACTGCAAATATGGAACACAACTTGTTTCTATTTATGGCTTTGATTTTCTCACAATTTTACAGTAAAACATGTTTTTGAAAATATATATTTCATATAATTTTTTTCAATCATTATTTTTCATAATAATAAACTTAAACTTCTAAAACTTTTTTTAGTTTCACTTTTTTAACTTGTTTCACTTTAGCAATATTCTGTGATCAAATTACAACAGTTTAAGTTGGAAATTTCATTTTCAGGTATGCTTAAAAAGTGATTAAAAGGTAATAAATTATCAAAACTATTCCATAAATATAATGTAGTAACTTAACCCCCCAAAAAACAATATATATGTATATATATATATATATATATATATATATATATGTAAAACAATTATCAAACTAAAATACATTAATTTCATTAAAGTATATATATATATATATATATATATATTATATTTAAAAAATCTGTAATTTTTAAACGCCATGTCAGCTGCTCCAGGAGAATACATTCAAAGAGTTTTTATAATAAATATAATATATTATTTGAATGATCAATTCTCACTGAGCAAAGCAACACACTAAAAACTAATTAACTTTCCTAAAAGAAAATGCTAAAATTCAACTTTAACTCTCATAAGTGGTATAAACAGCCTGAGAATGCACTGTCCAGTAAGTTATTTCAACAAAAATGCTTCATTACTTCAATACTAAACAATTAAGTTATATTTAACAAATTTAAGGGGACTTTGTTTTGCCTCCTCATTGCAGAAAATACTTGTGCGGTCACGCAGAATTAGAACTTGTGTAAAATGTAATCTTGTAAAAAGGGCACTTGTTTAGTCAGAAGCTAAACGGCACTAGGGGTCTTGTGCACGTGTCTGGATTGAACATTGTCTTTGATTTGAGCAGAGAACAGTGTTAGTTTGCTTGTTTTACCAGAAACACACAAAGTTAAACCGTCTGACAGGAAACTGAAGCATTCAGGAAATGAAAGTGATAAGAATGCATCTTTTTTTGATGGTTTGCACAATAGTCAACAAGAAAATGCACCTTTTACGTCATATGAAGATTGTCAAATCCGCTTCATAACACAACGGCTGGCTTTTTTTATTTTTAAATATCTTGTAATGGCAAAATCAGGTGTTACTGTCCAATTTAGCATTACTTCATAACATTGTATATTCACATAAAGTCAGAAAATCATGTTCACAACAAGCGATATCTGACTGGTCTTTCTAAGAAGGACACACTTCTTTGTTTTTCGTTATTTTTCATTATTATCATCTCTTGTGTGTGTTTTTTTCCAGAATGTTGAAGAGGAGGAACATGTGGAGTATGCAGCGGTTGCCGTATGATCATCAATCTTCAATCTTTTTCTACTATCAGATCAGTTGGCTCTAACTGTGAACCTCCTGCAACAACCTCAGACTCTGAGTCGTTTGGGTTTGTGAGAATCGTGACGTTTCATCAGGAAATAACAGCGGACATGCAGGATCATCATGAGGGTTTGAAGTGCGATACGTTAAAACTAAAGATTGATCAATTAAACGCCCTCCTGTAAAAGAATATACCTTATATACAAATAATCTAAATCATACGGACCATTGAAGCGTTTTCATGGTTAACTCTTAAATGCAGAGCTAGATTCTCAGTACAATATGTGTGTATGTAGATGCACATATGCAAAAGTTGTAAAGAAGTTAACCTTGCCATTATATGTTGAGAAATGTGGTTGTGTAGCCGAAGAGCCTGTGCATGAGCACGTACAGCCGGACGCTTGTGTCTGAGGTGTGAATAGCGTGTCTGAGTGAACACTATGCGGTTGAAGGGCTTTTTTCCATTGCTGCTCACATGAAAACATTAGGCGTTTGCTTAGACAAAAGGTCTGAAACTGAGTCTGACAGATAAAAGATTCACTCAAATCAAACAGTGATATTTTCTTATGTGTCTGTGAGATTCTAAGATTGATAATAAAGGTCGGGGTATATTTCGTCATGACCTCATGCTGTGATCCTGCAGATAAGCTCTGCTAGTTTCCGTACTTATTTCTAGCTCTAGTAAGAGGACGTTTTCTTTAAGAGGAAGAACTATCCTAGATCTCTCGCACCCTTTTTTTTTTATATGAATATAAACAGGAATCCAGAATGATATTTGAGACACCAGCATCTGATTTGGCACCAAAAACTATTAATAATTATGTTTCTTGGAAATGCACATTTAACATTAAATGTTTTTTGGGGGGGAAATGGACATTTGGCAGTAGCTTGTGTTGACAATAGCAGTAGCTTGAGCTTTAACATTTTATTTTCAATTAAAGGAGTAGTTCACTTTAAAAAAAACTTTTGCTGATAATTTACTCACCCCCATGTCATCCAAGATGTCCATGTCATTCTTTCTTCAGTTGTAAAGAAATTAAGGTTTTTGATGAAAACATTCCAGGATTTTCTCCAAATAATGGACTTCAATGGGGACCAAACGGTTCAAGGTCCAAATGAGAGTTTCAGTGCAAACTATTCAAAGGGCTTTAAACAATTCCAGACGATGAATAAGGGTCTTATCAAGCGAAATGATCGCTCATTTAAAAAATAAATAACAAAGTTTAAGTTTTATAAGCTCAAATGCTCTGTTCTGTGATGCTCTGTTCTGTGATGTTCGTGACTCGGAAAATGAACGAATCTTTCTCCGTGTCAATTTGTTCGCTTGGTTCGTTGAGTGAACCAAATGACTTGCAAAAAGATTGTGATAAACGAGTTCGAACAGGAGAGTCACAAACGTGCGTCACAGAACAGAGCAAGGCGAGCATTTGAGCTTATAAAACTTAAACTTTGGTATTTATTTATTAAATGAGCGATCGTTTCGCTTGATAAGACCCTTATTCATCGTCTGGAATCGTTTAAAGCCCTTTGAACAGTTTGCAGTTTGCACAGAAACTGTCTTTTGGACCTTAAAGTCTTTGGTCCCCATTGAAGTCCATTATATGGAGAAAAATGCTGGAATGTTTTCATCAAAAACCTTCATTTCTTTACGACTGAAGAAAGAAAGACATGGACATCTTGGATGACATGGGGGTTAGTAAAATTTCAGCAAAAGTTTTTTTTTTTTTAAGTGAACTACTCCTTTAACAAAAAACAGTAACCCAATTTTTTGGCTGCGTCTGAAAGCTTAGGCAGAGACTTGTTGCCTCACTGCCTAATCAGGCAACGACTTTACAGGCAGCGTTTGTGTACAAAGACACCTAACAAATATTTAAT